ATAAATATTATTTAAATAAATTATTAAAAATATAAAATATAAAATAAAATTATAATTACAACTGTACCGGTACCCTCTCAAACAATGTAGGTACCATAGAATTTCTCTTATTTATATTTAACTCATTAGTTTTTTTATTTCGTTGTTTGATAAATGGAAGTTAAATTTTTATAAATATTTTTATTTAAAATAATAAATAAAATTTATTATTATTATAGACATAAACATGGTGACATTAACAATATCAAAAACTTGATAGTTCATATTTAGATAATATTTTTTGAGATTATTCCTCCAAAAATCAACTTCGTGGTGCACCTACCAACAATTTTTGTTTTTGCATGAAGTAGGGCTAGATGTCATGTAATTTATCTTTCTTTTAATGTTTTTTTCGATTTCACACATTACTAAAAAAATAATGTATTGTTTAATCAAGCTTAAATGAGTCAAGTTAGGCACAAGCTTGCCTATATTAGGCCCTTCAGCCCATTGACATTACAAGACAAAACCCCAAGTATCCCAACCCAACATGTTGCAAGAATACATCTATCTTCACTCAATGACCAATATATATCTTCAAGATATAATACAAAATTGTTCTCGATTTTTCAAAATCAATGATCACATTATCAAAAATAATATCTCTACTTATTAACAAAAATATCTCCTAAAAATCAGGCAACACATTATCTTTAAATCTAAAGATAAGAACAATCACTTATATATAGAGTATTAGGTATCACATTAACCATAATCTCATTCTTAATCTAAACTTCTCGTCATTAGAGCGTTGGTAGATTTTGGTAAAAATAATTAAAAAATATATTTAAAAATTGTAAATAAAAATATTTTTATTATCACTATATTTATTTATTATTATTAAAATAAATAAACAAATATAATTTTTATAATTAATTTATTTAAAATATTAAATAAAAAAAATATTTTTGTGATTATATTTATTTATTGTTATTATTAAAATATTTATATATATATATATGAAGAGGGTTCAAACGACACTGGTGTAATTTTTACTAAGTATTATACCGCTCAATAACTTAATAACTTTATATTAAATGTGAATTTTATAAATTCAACTATTAGATTAAAAGTTTTTTACTTTTAGATTATATATACAAAATTTTATATTAATCCAAGATGATTTGATACTTCACTCTTATAAAATAAAATTGACGTAATATATATATTTCAAAATATAATAAAATATAAATATTTTGATTACCCACAAGTTATTGTTCAATTTTAATAAAATTTGATATAAACATATAAAGTGATATGAAATTATAATTTAACGGTTAGATTTACAAAATTTATATTTAATATAAAGATATTAAGCAGTATAATACTTAATAAAAGTTACACCAGTGTCGTTTGAACCCTCCTGATATATATGAAGAGAGTTCAAACGATGTAACTTTTACTTAATATTACACCGCTCAACAACTTTATATGAAATATGAATTAGATTGAAATGTTTTGAGGAAAATACTAAATTAACCTTGTTTGTTATGCACATCTTTAATTTTCATTTTTAGTTTGACTTCAAATTTAAAATCATTCTTATTTCCATTTAAAAATAATAAAAACACATAAAACAAATGTTGAGTATTATAATAAGTAAATCACTGTTTTAGTTCCGAAATATTGGCCTAATTTGAGGCGTCATTCTCCTAGCTAATAATCTTTCCAATTTAAAATCTACAGCATATTCATAGCTAGTCACATTTAATAGTTGGTACATTAACCGAAGGCATTTATGTAACTATAAAGACTTTCTCCCATTTGTATTTTGAATCTATACAATTCAATGTTCAAGTATGGTCAATTGATTGACAAGTTTGGGATGTAGATATTGGTTATTATTAAGTTTCTCCTATAAAGATTTTAATGCGAACTCCTTCAACACATTCATTATCTTAATAGCCCGAATAACTAAATTGTGCTTACAAAATTCTTTTTGATTTTAGTCTAGTCACTTATAGTTGTAGTACAACTTTTTGTTCTTTAAAAATTGATCGAGATATTTACAAAATAATAAATCTTGATTAGTATTTTATTAAATCGATTTCCTATATAACAGTGAGACTTTAAACCTAATTATTTGTATTCCTTGCATAACCAAAGTTTTGATACAAATGACAACAAAAACTTCACTCACATACAATATTGATAACAAAAACACAAGCCTCCAAAAACAAAGTAATAATATGCAGAATATTTTATGTGATTCCACATTGTTAGTCTATGTCTATATCAATGCTTTAACAAATGTTTGTTATTTTAAATTAGGGTACATATTTTGTGAACCTAAACCCTAGTTACATAAAATATTTAATAATTATCTTGTTCATCTCCAGAAACTGTAGCTTATCCATGTGCATACACAAAGAGAATATTTTTCTTCTAATATTTAATAATTATCATTTTTGTATTATTTAATTAATTTAATCGTTTAAAATTAAATTATTATTCTCAATTAATACTAATACTATTCTATATTTCTATTTATAATACTCAAATTAAACCAATTATCTATTTTTTATATAAAATCTAATTCATATTGTCTCATATATTAATTATTTTAAAATAAAAATATTCCTAATTAAAGTGTATTATCTTAATTTAATAAAATAATTTAATCATAATTTAAAAAAAAATATTCACTCTAAATGGTTGAAGAAAAGATGAGTATTAATTAAAAAAGAAAAATAGTATATGATATATACTCTTAAAAAAGAGAAGTAATATAAGAATAAGTTTAATATATATATATATATAACAAATTTATTATTATTAACTAAATTAATTATTTTGTTAATTTTGATGAATTTGGCAATAACTCACGGTACTATAATACTATAATTCAAAGTTGAATGCCAGAATCATCCTGTACAATTGTTAGCCTGTGTCGAAGTTAGATGAAACATGTGTTTGGTTCTATCCAAGATATACACGTTTTCTAATGAAATTACCTTGAGTAAAGATAAAAGATCCCAAGCTTAGAAATTATAGTTTCTGTGAACACATGCACGTCCGACAGCCCAAAATGCAGAACCAGAGATGTACTATGTTAAATTGGGAAAGTTGGCCGCATTATCACTGTGTCTGGTAGAAGAGAGTTAGCCAACAAAAAGAAGGGAAATAGATGAGATGGTTTATTTCGAAAATAAATTTGTTAGAAGAGAATTTTGCAAATGTGAGTCCCATATCAATAAATTTCTCCAAAAAGTATGGATTTTCTCCATATGCATTCACTTTTACAATTTTATTTCTAAATTAACTCTCATACTTTCATTTATCACATCGACACTCAACTTTCGAATACATGACACAATAGACACATTCAACTAACTCTCTCTTC